ATCTATCTATCTATCTATCTATCTATCTATCTATCTATCTATCTATCTATCTATCTATCTATCTATCTATCATGTGTCACAACCCCTGATATGCCCAAATATGGGAGGGAGCACACTGCTTCCCTTTTCTGTCTATCGGCTCTCCCTAGGAGCCATCCAGGCAGAAAGCCATTTTTTAAAATGTTGCCTTTGTTACTTATTTATCAGCACAAATGCTATATGTATGTGTGTGTGTGTATGTATGTATGTATGTATACATATATACATGTATATATGTACCTTTTGAGAGCCGAATGCAATGAAATTTCATTTTAAGATATGCTGATTAGTGTACATTTAAAGTGACAAAAGATTTCTATTATGAATAGAATTCTATTCATGACCTCAACGGGAATAAAATTCCTGCTTTTAGTTAATGGGTATTTTTCTACTGAATTGAATTACTGAGATCTGGAGCTTTCAAAAATCTGCTTCTAGGCTCTAAATATGGTCATTTTTGTTTGCTTTTTCTTGTAAGGTTATTTGAAAGGAAGGAAAAAAGCTGAAACCATCAACTGTTCTCAGTATTGCTGTTGAAGAGAAACTACTTGGACAGGGTTGGAGGAATAAAAATGTTAGACCAAGCAGCATCGAAGTCTGGCATTAATGAACCATCCAGATCACAGGACAACCGAAAGCCATACAAGATCGGATGATGCAGAGACTCCTGGCCCATAGAATGGCCAAGAGTTAGACATGACTGAATGGATAACATCATCAACTCTAGTGCAACATAGATTGCTGCAGCATTTATAGTGTTGGTTATAGAACAAAACTGCAGCTTAACATTGGAAGTGCAAACCAGAAATATCAGGCAAGAAGAGCAAATTAAAGGACTGGAAATAGAGTACAAATTACAAGTATTTGCAGGTGATCAGGTTTTTATTTTAGAGGATCCATTAAAATCAGGCCCGAGACTTAAAGACAAATATTAGAGGAAAATACCAGCTTGTCTCTCCACTTTAGAAGCATTGGTAAACCGAAATTTTATAAATATGGAAATCTTATAAATAAGGATATACTAAATGAGAAGGGTGAATTGAAAATTAGAATTAGATTAGAATTAAAAGACCAAGGGATAGAACTGGAGTGGTGGTTGCACCTGCAAATTCCATCATGTTATGTGAAGGATGTGAAAACGGGGATTTTTTTATAGAGAATTAAGAGACAAATTATTAGTGGGGGCCGATGACAAATTGATATGGATACTATACAAATATTTATTAGATTATAATATGGAAGAACAAATTAAAGAGAGGATGGTTGTATGGGCTAAAAATTTTGGATATAACATTGATTTGGACAATTGGCAAAAGTTTGGGAGAGAGATTGGAAATTGACACTGGCCACATCATATAAAGAGAATCTTAAAATGTTTGATAGGTGGCATCTCTCCTCGGTGCAAGATTGGCTAAAATGTTTAGTAATGTGTCCCCAAACTGTTGGGCCAGGCACATGCTACCACATGTGGAGCAAGGAAATACACTGGATGTAACGAAGATGTTTTTATGTTTGGTACGTATAACTCTGCCTTTAAAAAAAATTTTTTTATAATAAAACAAGGAAATTTTGGTTACAAATTCATGCACAGCACTGGAAGATTGAAAACACCCGTTCAGAGGAGATAATAAGGAAGATGGATAGACTAATGTTAAAAATAAAAAGACAGACAGAATATTATGACACATGGAACAGATTCTATCAATGGTTGGTTAGAAGTATGAGGTGTAAGTTGGAATGCGAAAAAATTAGGGTAAGGGGACCTGGAAATTTATGCATCGTGGTATTAGAATGAATATGATGGTCAAAAATAATTGTACAACACTCGCGCTGTTTAAGTAATATATATGTTACTTGCATTCACTTTGGATTTTATGACAAGTGAAATGCCAGGACAATCACTGTGTTCAATATACTTATATGTAAATAATAAAAATATTTTTAAAAATGCACCTGTGATTGGTATTTGTATTAGTAATGTACAAACTCTTTGAGTTATTTGGTTTTTCTTAGTTTGCCCTGAGAACATGTTCACTTTATCTTGTAAATGATCATGTCTTGTTGAACATCTGTGAACCTACTGATTTGAATTCAGCTACGCTTTAACTAGCCCTGCTTAGCCAAATTTTGGGGATTCTGCTTGAGGCCACTGCTGTGGCTGGTGGGCTTAAGATGTTGAGAGGAACTGTTGAAGAGCAGGAGGAACATAATCCTAAATTCCTCTGCCTTTTGTCAGTCCTTTTTATACAGTATATTACTGGAGTTTGATAAATGACTATATAATTGATTATCTTAGCTGATTTTTAGAACCATTGCCAAAATAGTTCTCCAACGCTTTTCATGATCACTGATTTGGCCAAAGTTGAGAATTAATTTCCCCAATTTACTACATGTTACTTACATTTCTGAGCAGTTNCGTGGTCTGCAGCCTGCATATTCCTACTGCTTCTCTGAGTCTTTGGACTGTGACAGAGGAGATAAACCATGCAGGAGACAATTCTATTTTCATCCTCTCCTCCCCTTGTTCTATGCCTGATATATCCAGCCTTGGCCATGTTTAAGAATTGTGGATTTCTGTGAGTTAGAAGTCCACAGGTCTTAAATTGTCAATGTTAAACACTCCTGCTCTATGTTTTGTTTCATGCTCCATGTTAATCTGTTTTTCTTATGTGTGGGGTTTCAGGATTTTGAACTGGAGTTCCTTATGTAGGATTTTATTTTGTAATTTGCCTCAAGTTGTTCAACCGACTCTAGATGAAGTACAATATTTACTGAAAACGCCAATAAACTGCAAAATTGTATAAATGTATTAGTTAATTGGGATCATATTTTGCATGAAAAGTGTCTTGGATTTGAAAAGCTAATGATGTCATTCACTCTGGTTTCTTTTCTATGCAGGCAGCCTTCTGGTTTGGCTGAATTCTGCTACTGGAACATCCTATGCACCATCTGACACTTGAGGACACATCTTATTTGCTCGTCTGACCAGTTTCAGATGATGGACAAGGTTCAATGCTGTGAATCTAATCTGGTTCCAAAGTAGAAGGTATGTGCTTGCCTTGAGCTCTTCTAGCTATACAGGGACAGTTTGGCATCCCTTGAGTTGTATAGGTAACATATGGTCACTGATAGCTGAACTTTCAGCAATAGAACTTTAGCATTATATTGTTTTCCTAGCTGTCATAGGCCTCTAGCTGGATTGCAACAAACGCACTGTAGCCTGATCATTTATCTCAGGTGTGTTGAAAGACTTTGACTAGGAATAAGCCTCCAACAGTGGCGTTAAAGGCAAAGGCTTGCACACCTACGCATTGATCCTAGTTCCAATACTTAAAACCAAAGGTGAACTTGGAAGAATACGATCTGTGTTGCTTTAGATTTGGCTGAATCATCCCTTGCTATTGTTGCTGGTGAAAGTAACAGAATTCTGGATGGGTGCAATTTTTTTTTCTCCTATTAGGCAGTCTTGCAAATTCTATAATTGAAGTTACTTTTGTTGGAAATGTCTATTGGAGCTTCCCCAAATGCTGATTTCTAGAATGGCTTGTAAGAGCCGCGGTGGCGCAGTGGTTAGAGTGCAGTACTGCAGGCTACTTCTGCTGGCTACCAGCAGTTTGGCAGTTCAAGTCTCATCAGGCTCAAAGTTCTGTTCAGTTTTATCTTGAGCCACTAAGCCATTAGCACTTGAGGTACTAATTATGACCCTTAAAGCACTCCATGGCTTAGGCCCAGGGTACCTGCGAGACCACCTACTGCCACCGGTAG